ATACAGGATTTTAAACCAGTGGGCACTGGGTCCCATCTGTACACTGGGCATTGATCCTGCTGGAGGACATCACGGCTGCCAGCTCGCAGCTCTCTGCGCAGCCTGGGGAAGGAGAAATTCCAGTCGTAATGAGGAGCCGCAGTCATCCGGTTCCCAGAGCTGGGACTTTGCCAAAACCATGGTGAACTGGAGGAAGGACCTGCGGGGGAGTTGGAGTCCCAGCTCACTTCAGTGGCTTCTAGCTCCAGCCCAGTGACCATCCCTGGGGCTTATGGAGCAGGAGGCAGCTCCCATGGGAGCAGTCGGAGGGAAACACCACAGTGGCTAGTTTTGGAAATCCCCCTGCCATGGATATATAATATATATCCATGTACATGTATATAGAGGGTCTATATGACTGTATTTGTGTGTCCTCCCTCCTCTGGGACCGTGGGTGCTGTGGGCAGTGGGGTGCAGAGCCAGCACTCAGTGCCACTGCTGCTGCTCAGTGCCACTGCCACCACCTGGCTCACAGGCAGCAAGGGACACGTCCTCGCCCTGCAGAATCGGGGGCACCGGGGCTTCAGGCTGGCTCCCAGCAAGCAGGGCAGGGGTGCTCACCAGGGGAGGCCGGGCAAGGTGCCAGGGGATCAGGCAAGGTCAGACCCATTCCTGCACTACACCCATAAGCAAGGAGGAGACAGCATCACTCTGAGAGGCGCTCAGGTTTGGGGGCACTGGGGTGCTTTGCTGGGTTGTGCTGTTCTCGAGCAGCACAGGCGACTCCTGCTGCCACTGCTGGCCTCGATGACCTTGGGTGTATCACCTCCCCCTTGATGTCACACTCCACCTGCACACAGACCACCGCAAACCGCACTTTCTCCCACCCAAACCCTGCGGCCAAAAGCACCCGCAGGCAGCAAGGGCGAAGAGCCCCGGGGATGCCCCAGGGGTGCCCCTGGGGTCCGGCAGCCCTCGGCAGCGTGCGGCCGAGGCACTGTGCTAGCGAGCAATAATGCAGCAGGCTGGGGACTCCTGCCGGTGGCTGCGCTGCCTCTCGGTGCGTGCAGGAGTAACACCGCTGCAGCAGCAGCTCGCGTACCGCCAGCCTGCGCTCAGGACTGAAGTTTTGCTGCAGCAGAGGAGCAGGCGGGGAGTCCAGCAGCGCCCTGCAGCTCCACAGCGCAAGAGGCTGTGCTGTCGGACACTCTGCAGTGGGTGACACCCCGCAGCACCCCGGCCGCTCTCTCAGAGGACAGAAGAGCGCTGCGCCAAGGAGCGCCCGTGCAGAAAGAAATACAGAGGCACTGATACAGTTGGAGACCACGAAGCAATGGGTGACACAGACTTGTGTCCCCCCCCTCTGTGCCACAGTCACCTTGCAACGCTGCCTGTCCCCTGCGCAATTTGCAGAGCTCCTTTGGGATCACTCTTTAAAACTAGGCTGAGGGGAGCAGCGATGTGCTGAGCACAGCAAGGGCTGCGGCACCCCAGTGTGACATCCCCGGCGCTGGACCGAGCCCCTCTGCACGGCTGCACCCTGACGGCACCCAGCCAGCGTAGGGAGTGCTGGAGGAGCCCGGAGATGGTGTAGCCACGGCGGGGGAATCCAGACGGAGGGTCTGTCTGGAGCTGGCTCCTGGCCAGGCCGCTACGAAGAAGCCGTCAGTGCAGCGGGGCTTGTAGCTGCCCACGCTGGGGCCACGCCGCTGCCCGGGTTCCCAGCACCAGGGTGGGTTCCCCGCAATGCTGCGGGAACAGCCCCGCGCCCCCGCCACTCCCGGGGCCAGCACCCCAAGGGCACCCATTGTCGGGCATCCGCAGGGATGAGGAGCTGGAGCATCCCGCAGCGCCCAGAGGGCACCTTTGACCCGGCGGCACCGCGCGGCATCCTCGGGGTGGCCCCGCATTCCCAGGGGCTCTCCCGCTTTCGGGAGGGTCCCCACGCCCCTGGGCGCTCCCCGCCAGCTCCGCAGCCTCCTGCACCACTGGCCGCCCCCCTCTCCATCCCTCCAGGCTCCGTCCCCAGCCGCCTTCTGGGTGCAGCCCCCCACGGGCAGCCTCCGGGCGTTGGGCAGCTCTGGGACTCGTATCCCGGGATGGGTTCCCGGGGAAAGCGCTGCCCTGCTCCCGGCACCGGGACACGGCGAGGTGCACTACCCGGTGCCCGCGGCGAGTACTCCATCCCACCCCACGGGGGACGGTCGCACCTCGGGTGGCGGCGTCGGGACGGGCTCGGCGAGAGCTCGGGCAGCCCCGTCCCGCAGAGTCCGCGCCGCTGCGGCACCGGGGGAAACTTCGGTGGGAGTGCGGGCGGGCACTTACCGGCCGGGGCGGCGGGCGGGAGCGCTGCGGTGCGGTGCGGTGGGTTCCGAGCGGGCGGGGAGAGCAGCGCTCGGCGCGGGGCGGGCGGGAGCGGCCCCGCCCGCGCACCTCGGCCCGCCCGGCCCCCCCGGGGCGCGCACCGGGGCTCGTGCGGGAGCGGCACCGCCCGCGGGCGTCCGGGAATCGGCACCGGGCACCCCATCGGGCCACCTCATGCCTGTCACCGGCAACCCCATGGGGGTCACCTCACAGGGCACCGAGCACCGGGAAACCCCCAGTGGGGTCACCTCACACCGGGCACTTCACATCAGGACCGAGCACGGGCACTGGGCACAGGCACCCCGCGCCGGGGTCACCTCACACACAGCACTGGCACCTGGCACTGACACCAGGGACTGCCATCAGGCACCTCATACCGGGCGCTAATACTGGGCGCCAGCGCCAAACACTTCACGTCAATCACCTCGCGCTGGTCACGCACACTGGTCCCTTCTCGCCAGTGACCTTGCACAGATCACCACCCGCCAGTCACCCACCACTGTCACCACCACCGCCACAGGGACCTGCCAGGTCCCTGCTGCGGCCACAGGAGAGAGGCACTGGAGGCAGCTGTGGTGGTAGTACCTCCACCGTGCCTCCCCCCAGATCCAAAGGGCTCCTGGGCGCCCAGCTCTGGTTTTAGAGCCAAAACGTCAGGAAAAAGCTGATGGGATTCAAGAGAGGAGCCCGGGCGGGGAGCAGAGGGCCGTGGGGGGACAGTGGGATCCCCTTCCCATCAACGGAGTCTTCAGTGGGAAAAGGGAGCCCTCGGATACTCCTTACTCCCCATACATGAGCCAGGGACAGGGACACTGTGGGTTCAACCAAAACCACCCCAGCTAAGAGTCTGCCACCTCCATTCCAGCAGTCCCTGGTCCCAGTGTCGCAGCCAGAGCATCTAAACTACACAGGGAGGTGGCCGGCTGCTCCAGCTTCTCCAGCCGGAGACACTCTGGAGAGGTGGTGCCTGGAGCAGAGAGAGCATCCCGAGGTCCCAGCGCAGCTGGGAGCTGTATCACCCAAAACCTCTGCACACCCTAGTTTTGCTGCAGCAAAACCCCCTCCCAGCCTTGCACCAGCCCCCGACAACACCACAGAGACAGGCACGAGCTCCCACCGGATCCTGGGGGCAGGGGAAAGGCCCTGCATGGGGCCATATCCCCACTGCAGCGCCCAGGGGTGCTGGTTGCTCAAACCGAAGGGTTCCTCCCCTACCCATCACTCTTGAAAAGGGCGTCTGAGTGTTTCCAAACGCTGGAGTCCGTCTGAAATTGAAACGTCAGCATCATCCCCGTGTGGTCCCTCTGCATTTCCCCCCCCCCGCCACCCCATGGCTCGGACCGATCCCTCTGGCTCTGCGCCGTGTCAATTCCCGATGTCACGATGTGTGGGACCCTTCTGCAGCTCCCCTGCCTCCTCTCCCGCTTGCTCTCCTCTCCTGCCTGCACAGGGCTTGGAGTGAGCACAGGTCGGGGTGCACGCACTGGGCACATCCCTGCGGACGGGGAGCCCCACTCTGTGTCCGGGACCGCACCCACCGTAACCAACTCGTGTGAACTCGCCCTGCGGGAGGAGCGGGAGCCGATGGGAAGAGCCCTCTCCTGGCCCTGGATCCGCCACTGCAGCCTCTTACAGCTCATCGCCATCCCGTCATTAATTACCGGCTCCTGAAGCATCTGTCCCTGCTCCAGCATCCCTCTCCGGAGGGGAAAACAGATTTGGAGACGCCGCGAGGAAGACCGGGCTCTCCCTGCGTCCTTCAGCCTCCACCCGTGCTCTGCTGCAGGCAGAGCAACTGGATTTGCACAGGGGACACCATCCCACCTCTGTCCCCCCGTGCTGATGCAGCATCTGTCACCATCGTGTCCTTTCAAATGGGAGATCAGATCAGACCTGGTGAGGCAAAAGGGGCCCACCCACCCCGAGCCCTTCTCCCCCGCTCACCTCAGGTAGGACCTGTCTCTCCTGCCCCAGGAAAGGGACCTCCTGCTTTCCATGTCCTGAACTGCCAAGATTCCAAATCAGGAGCATTTCTGCCCACCCCAGACTTTACAGGAGTGTGACCTCGGGAGAGGGGTCCCCAATCCCTAAAACTGCTCCCAGCATCCTGAAAAACAGCTAAGACTTCAACCCAGGAGCGTTTCTACTAAGGCTCCCTTCCCATATTTTGCAGGAAGGGAACTACCAAGGACAGGGGTAGATGCTTTGAGGGCTTGAGCCCCTCTGGAGACAGGCTAGGAGAGATAGGGGACACTCAGCCTGGAGAGAAGGCCCTGGGAGAACTTAAGAGCCCCTTCCAGTCCCTCTCCCTCCCAAGAGAGCTGGAGAGGGACTTTGGACAAGGGACAGGACAAGGGGGAATGGCTTCAAACTGCCAGGGGCAGGGTTAGATGGGATAATGGGAAGGAAATCTTGGCTGTGAGGGAGGTGAGGCCCTGGTTCAGGTTGCCTAGAGAAGCTGTGGCCACCCCATCCCTGGAAATGCTCAAGGCCAGGGACTTGGAGCAAGCTGGGATAGTCCAAAGTGTCCCTTCCACTGAGATGAGGTTTAAGGTCCCTTCCCAAACCATCACGATTCTATGATGTACAACTGCCCTCCCCTCTGCCACACAGGGGCAGAGCCACAGACACAGGACCAGGAGCCAAGAGTACAGGAGATCACTTTATTGAATCCAATGGTGTTAGACAGACGACTGAGAAGAGACATGCCAGTTGGTGCGGGCAGTGTGGGCAGCAGGAGCTGACTTGGTGCAGGGCTGAATTTGTTTCTGTCTTTTCAGAATATCCTCAAGCCTCTTCCTGGCTTCCTTTTATGTTTCCTTTAAAATTTCTTTGAAGTAAAAACAACTAATCGTGGAAAGAGTCCAGATGGTGTTTGTTTGTTCCCTATGATTGTTCCCGCAGCTATATACAACGTGGGGCTGGGTCTCAACATCAGGTATAAAATGGAGCGAGTTTACAAACGTGGAGGGCGCAAGGAAAAAACAAAAACAGACGACAGGCGTGAGTAGAAATCTGGACCAAAATCTTAAAGAGAAATTTAAAAAGTGCTATAAAACCCCTCGGCAGGAATACCATGCAGTTAAGAAACACAAAACCCAGTCAATTACACAGATAATCTAGAACAGGAATGTGTCCATTTCATCTTTTATTTAATTAAAAAAAGGTTGTTTGTGTTTATTAGAAAAAAGCTAAAATTGTAAGGTTCAGGCCACCAGGCAGCAGCAGCTCGAGGGGGCAGGAGGGTGAGGCACTGGCATCACCCACCTCCAGCCCCTCAGGGGGACTCCCGGGAACCACGGGCACCTTTGGGGGCAACTGGCATCTCTGGAGATGGCAGATACCCTTGTGGGGTGATGGGTACCTTTGGGGACAGCAGGCACCTTTGGGGACAACAGGCACCTTTGGGGTGGTGGGCACCCTTGGAGGTGGCAGGAGGATGAGTTAGAGCAATCCTTGGACCCCTGGGCACAGAGGGGCTCAGCCCACAGCCAGGGGTTGGCCCCCAGACAGCTGCCAGCCTTGGGGACATGAGGTGCTTGGTGTAAGCCAGGAGGAATCCATCAGGACCTGGCCTCTCCAGCCAGGTAACCCCAGCCAAGCCCCCCAGCAGCTGATCTCAAGGCCCACCTGCTGGCATGGCCCTTCTCCTTCCCCCAGAGATTCCTCCTGGATCACACCACCCGCTCACTTCCAGCTGCTGGGGCTGAGGCGATGGCATGGGGGCAGCCCCGATCTGGGGAGGGACAGGGCAAACCTGCAGGACACAGGCCAGGGGATGCTCAGCAGTGGGGGACGGCTACAATTTGGTCCAGGTTTGGGTGGCTCCCTGGAGGAGTCAGAAAAGAAAGCTCAGGCAAGGCTGCCCCTCCTCCCATGGGACTCCTCAGGGCACCTGGGCACAGGGCAGCCCCCAAAAGGTGCATCAGTCACTTCCCACCCTGGGCACCAGAGCCTCAAGGAGGAGGCGAGGGGCTGGAGGGAACAGTTGCGTCCCCATTGCAGACCTCGAGTGGCTGCTGGGCCGGAGTCTCATACAATCAGAAAAGAAGTCAGCACAGCACAGTCATCACAGAGTACAAAAAAAACCCAAAACCAGGGACAAGGCGCAGGGCCGCGCCCCCCCAACCCACACAGGGCGTTCCACGACGGATCTATGTACAGCGAGTCCTCGACAGAAGAGAAGGCGAACAGAAAGCCCTAACGCCCAAGCCAGCATGGGGAAGAGATCCCGGAGATCCCCGTGGGAAGGGGCCGGGCTGGCTGGCCCCGGCGGCAGCAGGAGGCTGTCGGACAGACGGAGAGGTGGGAGAAGTGAGCACCATGGGGCGGCGAGGCGGGACACACCGGCCAAGAGCACCGAGGGAGGACAGAGGTGGCGGCAGCCTCCGGGGGCACTGCGGGAGATGCCCGTTCCAGAGGGGTGTGAGGTGTCCCTGAAGACCGCACCAGCTGCAGCACAGGGGGCTGAGGCTGCCCAGTCCCCAGCCTGGCAGAGTTTGGGGACAGGGTGGGCTCAGTTGATCCAGCCCTAGGGTCACCTCTCCTCATATGTCTCTCCAGGGCCCCAGAAAAATGTGGGGGCTGAGCTGGAGGGCAGAAGGGAGGAGGAGGCCCCCAGAGCCCAGGTCAGCACAGGATGGGAGTGCAGACCTGCAGGGCACTCCACAGCCATGGCTGGGGACAGGCCAGTGAGGGTGCTGCAGGCAGCAGTGCCAGCACCTTCATTAAATCCCAGCCAAGCTGGCTTTGGGAACAGAGGCTACTCGAGCAGGCTGTGACAGCATGTCCCAAGCCCCACGTCCCCCCTTCCCGCATGGCCAGAGATTAAGGCACCACGGCAGCACCGGGGCCGACCCTCTCCATGGAGTCTGGCCTTTTGACAATGCAGGATAAGGCCAGGAGGACACATGGCAGCCCCAGGTGCCCCCAGAGCACCAACACAGACCCTGCCAGGCTGCAGGAAGGCACAGGGCCAGGGGGAGCAGGCAGCATGGGGAGCAAGCAACCCCAGGCTCATTGACCCACCGCCCCAGGCCTGGCAGCACCAAGGGGATGAGAGGTTGGTTGGGCTCCCCTCCACCAAGGGGACAGGGATGGCATCCAGCTGCCCAGGGATGGGGCAGCAGCAGCAGCCTCCCCATGCCCCAGTACCTCAGGGAGGGGATGCTCTGTGGCATCCCACCCTGGTGGGAGACACCATCCCAATGCCCTGTGCCTTGGAGGAGGAGGGAGTTGCCACGTGAGGGGCTGCTCTGGGAGCCTCCTGCTGCCACCTGCCTCCACATTGGCCTCCAAGTCCCACCTCAGCCAACCTGTGCAGCCCCAGGAGGTGGGTTCAGGGACTGGAGATCATCCAGTGAGCACCAGTTTTATGACAGAGGTGGTTTGAGTGGTGAAACCAACAGCTGCAAAAGAAACCAAAGGCGAAGGACACTGCTGCCAGGGAAGCAGTAGGCACCAGGCCACAGGCTCCAGGCCAGGAGAGCAAAGTACCAGAACAAAAAAAGGGACCAAAGCAAAGTCTGGACTCAGCCAAAGAAAAGGGGAAGGGGGAAACAAAATAAAATAAGAAAAGCAGGGTTTTTGGGCTGTCCTGGTCACAGCAGCTGCTGTGCAGGTGGAACAGGGAATGCACAGAGAGCAGCGAGAGCCATGCTCCCCTTGGCTGGCTCAGGGTGGGAGCTCCACAGTGGAGGCTCTGGTGGCTTTGCCCAGCAGGTGCAGAGGAAGCCGGAGCCCCTCATGCCCATCCTGCAGCCCCAGCTCCTCCTGCGCCCCCAGCTGTGGCCCAGGTGGCTCCCGCGGGGTCCCTGCCCCACGCAGGGGCCTTCCTGCAGCTCCCGGGAGCAGGGGCTCAGCCTCAGCGGTTGCCTTGGTCCCAAAGCCCAAGAGTTTGCAATAGAGACAGAAAAAACCAAGAAGAGAAACCAGGATTCTCCTACCCCCACGGTTGGGAGGGGAGATGGTAACTCGTGCTCTTTCACGGATGAGCCGAGTTTCCCCGGGCTCCGCCAGGACACGCCAGAGCCCTGCTCTTCTCCTCTCCGTTTGCTCGCCAGCCCCACGCTCCTGGATGCCAAAGGAAAAGGAGAGCAGCCCAGCAGCAGCTCCCCTCCACCTGGGCTGGCACATCTGGGCCTCACAGAGTCGACTGCAGGTCGGGGTCCACCATGGTCTCACGGTCTGGAGACTCAATGTAGTTGGCAGCTTCCTGGAGCTTCAGCAGCATGGCCATCTGTGGGGACAGGTGCATGGCAGGAGCCCGAGGGGGACAAGAAGCCTGGGTGACTGGGGAGGCCACTTGGCCCTCTTGTTCTCCCAAACCAGCCTTGCTGGGAAGCTTCTTAGAGGGTAAAGCAAGTCCCAGAGATGCTGCAAAACCCCTCCCCTGTGCCAGGATCCAGCCTCAGGTACAGCTGGAATGCTCAAGACTCAGTATGCCAAAGCAGCATCAGCTGGCATCACCTGTGGAGCCAGCAGCCTCTCCAGGTGACGTATCAGGATACGTAGGAACACATATGCCTGTCTGTGGCTCTGCATGTGGACATGATGCCTCGTGGAGTGTCATGTCGTGCCTTTTCACTGACATGTCACCATGTGTCCTGGTGTGCAGCCCACCTGCCAGTGCCACCACCCCGCACCCACTGCTCCTCCTGGGAGCACGAAGTGTTTCTGCATCCCCAAATCAGGCTTTTTACACTGAGAATTAACTGGGAAAGCAAAGCTCCACCCTGCTCTGCCACCAGCTCCTCCCAGCCCCTCCTGTTGGCCACCATACCAGTGGGTCTGAGTCCAGGGAGCTGGGTGTGGTGTCCTTCACGGTGCGCTCCTCAGGGGGGGACACGGCGCTCTGGGGCCCGACGGTGGGTGGGGGCAGGTGGTACAGCTTGGACTGGTCCTGCTGCGCTGACGGCCAGGGCAGGGTGTCCCGCACCCACTCCACGGGGTCCTCCCAGGCTGCCTTCTGCCCATGGACCTGTGACAGGGATCAAGTGGCAGTCACCTCCTCAGCACATGCCAGAGCCAGCAATGTGGCACCCTGAGCCCCCCAGGACATGCTATGTGCCACAGCAGCCACAGGGCACAGGGACTGACAGAGATGTCACCTACACCCACCAACCCAGTGCCTCCCCTCTCCCCCTGACCCATGATGGCTGTATTAGTGTGTCCCTGCACTGGTTTGCATTCTCATGTGCCAGCAGCACTGGCTACCTTGAGCCCATCTTTTGCCCCCTCCTGCAGGTAAGGGATGATGGAATTGTTCCACAGGTCGATGAACCAGGTCCGGAAATCCTCAATTCCAATAGGGCAGGACAGAAAGAAGCAGGGACCTGCGGGGGGAAGGCAGACAGTGGAAATAGGAGCTGGGTGCCCCTCCTCCAGTCACTGGGCCCGAGGCTTACAGCACTGAGGTGGGCACTCCTGGCTGGAAGAGGGCCCTTGGGAACAGTGGCTAGGCACCATCAGCCTGTACAGCAGACAGACAGCATCTCCCAGGCAAGGAAGGGGGTTGCCAAGCTCAGTCTATCCCCCAAAAGCCTGGTGAGGCATGGGGGATCCACCTGGGAAAATGTAGCTCCTCCATGCCCAGGGAAGGGTGCTGGGAGGACTGGCAGCCTTGGCTGACACCCCTAGTGACAGCTCCCAAAGTAACAAAGAGCACCCAAGGAAGAGCAACGCTTGTGTGCATCACCCACCAGCTGTGGCTTGTGGGACTGGGAGACACAGGGAACACATCAGCCCCCCTGAGCTCCTCTGGGAGGGTTTGGTCCCAGTCCCCAGGGCTCCTCACAGCCTGGGACAGAGGAGGAAAGTGAGGTAAGGCCGTACCGATGAGGAAGTCGGATGTGCTGTGTTTTTCCAGAAAGGTGTGCAAATGGTACCAGAGCTTGGGCACCCAGTCCAGCACCCGCAGCAGCTCCTCCTTGTTGGCGTTGATGTCCGTGTCTGACTCCAGCAGCTTCCGCCGCAGGTAGCGCACCAGGAAGCCATTGGCCGGCTCCACATTGTTGGAGAAGGTCAGCATCCTGGGGGAGGACTCCAGTGGTCAGGGCTGGGTCTCCACACAAGCTGCCCTGCTCCCCAGAACTCTTGAGGCCCTCCTTGAATCCCCACCCTGCATTTGCCTGAGGCTGCGGAATATCAGGTCCTTCTGGGATGGCAGGGACAGGCCTGGGGGCTCATTCCTAACCAGGGTCATCAGCCATAGGTTGTGACCACAGAAACACCCAGGTGCAAGTGATGGCTTCTGTCCCCCACAATTCCACAAGAATGATCCCCAGGGATGTACAATTCCTACCTGAAGCTGAGATGGAGGCCATGGTTTGGGGTCATCTTCACAGGCTGGTTGGTAGTGCCAATGATATACGGACTGAGTGAGTGACAGAGAGACAAGATTAATGAGAAAAAGCCTCTGAGTCACCCCTGCCCAAGGCAGAGCTGATCTGGGCACAGCAGACATGTGGCCTCATCCCCACAGCCCAGCGACCTCGGTGAGAGCAGCAGGGAGCATGTGTGTGCCATGGGGCTGCACTGGAGGGGTGCAGAGGGGCTCTCACCATTTGTGGTACTTGCAGGTGAGCGCACCGTTGACGAGCTCGCTGATGGAGCCCGCCTCGCTGAGGTCATCCAGGAGGATCACCAGCGGCACATCCGCCGTGCCCGTCTCCCGATCAATCTGGTTGGCCAGGTTGGACAGGTACAGCTGAAGATCCTGGAACAAACAGGTCAGGTGTCAGGTGTGGGGCCATGGCATGACGGCCACGGGGACCATGGCACCAGTGCCCACAGGGACACTGCTGTGTGCCCTCACCTTGCAGGACTGCTGGTGCATGTTGAAGGTGCTGACGATGCCCTCGGTGACGTCCCGACCCGAGCGCTCCACCAGGTACTCGGCCAGGCGGTTGGTCAGGTAGGTCTTGCCGGTGCCACTGGGCCCCGAGAGGATGAGGCGGCGGTGTTTCAGCAGGAGGCTGATGTAGTGCTGCATCATGGGCTTGGGGATGAGTGTTTCGAACACCAGGCTGTCCACGCATTTCTCTTTCAAGCCTGTGGGCAGGGGAGGGCTGAGGGTCCCACTCACACCCTGCAACACCCCAAGACAGCAGGGACATGGCCCAGCCATGGAGCCCCTCTGCCACACTGACCTTTGAGCGTCACGACAATGCTGGTCAGGCCCCGGCGGCACAGTGGCAGCTCTGGCGGCTCCGTGTCCAGCACGCGCTTGATGTGGCTGATGCTGTAGCCGTAGATGGACTCGGTGCTGAGCCCCAGCGTGGACGCAGGATCCATCTTAGTGATGTAATCCTACGATGGAGAAGGACAGGGCTTTCAGTGCCCCTGAGGGCTGTCAGAGAGCGGCTCCAAGAAAGCTTGGGGAGGACCTTGGCCATGGAATAGCAGGCCTGGTGGAGCAGTGTCAAAGGATGGCTCTCTAAAGAGTGTTCTTTTTGCTCCTACCTTGAAGACCTGGCAGACAGCCTCATCCAGCATCTTCCAGTCTACCTTTCCGCTCACCTTGGTCCAGCCCAAGAAAAACTCCTGCTGCTTGAGGTCCTAGGAGCCAACGCAGAAGTGTGCAGTGCTGCAGCACCACATCCAGCCCCAGGAGGTATCCTTTGCCCCTCTGTCAGGGCCATGACACGGTGACAGGTCAGGCTCCCCATGAAGCCCACACTTACCCCCTTGATGATGTGCTGGGGCGGCATGCGCACCACAATCCGCAGCGTCAGCTCATCCTTCTGGGTGCCAGCGCTGACAGCATCCATGGGGGACACGTCTGGGGATGGAGCAGTGAGGCTGTGCTGGCCAGAGCCAAGCCACCAGGCCTGGCTATGCCCAGGCAGAGGCAAATCCTGCTGTGGTTGACAGCGGCACCAGCAGCACGACAGATCCCCTGCTCGCTCCAGGTGAGCAGCAGCACGTTGCCACCACACACACTCCTCCCTATCCAGCCCTTCCCCATGTGCCAGCAGCTCTATCACCCCTACCTGCATCCCCCGGGCTGGGGCTGAAGGCATGACCAAGGGTGAGACCCAAGGAGCGCCGTGGTGAAGAGGAAGCCGATGTGCTCGTGATATGGCTGGGAACAGCACCTAGCACTGCTGAAGGCCCAGGGGCCACCTTGAGACGGTCATTCTCGGCCTTCAGGAGATCCACCTCCAGCTGGGGCACAACAAGGCACGACACAGGGTAAGGAGCAGTATGCCAGCAGCACTCCGGGGTGCAGCACAGAGAATGCAGGGACTGTGGGCACCTTGGCACTGAGAGCAGCCAGGCTGCTGGCAGGGGTCCTCACCTGCATGTTGTGCATGGTCTCCCGCAGCTGCTCCAGCTGGTGGGCTGAGTTAAGGGCCTCCAGGCGGATGTCTGTCAGCTTCATCTCCTTCTCCCACAGCTCTGACCGCAGCTCTGACACCTCCTTCTTCTCGGGCTCGCCCTCACTGTGGGCCTGGAAGAGCCTAGGCCAAGGGAGAGATCAGGTCTCACACGTGTCTCTGGAGGGAGCCTGCAGCCCCTGCCACTGGCCCTGCCTGGCCCCACGTACTCAGCCGTGTCAATGCCCACGGAGGAGGATGTGGAGGACTTGATGGAGGGCGAGGCAGTCTCTGTGGAGCCATGCTGTAGCTTAGGGGAAGAGGGGGCTGACGAGTCTGGCGTGGCGATCTCCTCTATGTCAGAGTAGGACGAAGCTGATTTGGGGCCCTTCTTGATGCTGAAGGCCTTATTGAAGGAGCTGCGTAGCTACAGGAGAAGGAAAACTTGTTAGAGACAGTCCGAAGTGCAGCCTCACAAGCAGAGACCTGGCCTGGTCCTGCCCTGTCTGTCCAGGACCCACAGACAAGCTGAGCTGGGACCAGTACAACCACACCCATCACAGAGGCAGCACCTCCACCATGCTGGGGAAGGCTGCAGCCTGACCCCGCTCTGCTGGCACAGCGGACGGATGGGGTGCACAGCCCTTTGGGCAACACTCACCCCAGCCTGGATGGCACCAGAGCCCCAAAGAGTGGGACCCATGTCCTGGTCAGGATGTCTCCCAGCCCTGCTCCCCACCAGCACCTACACCAGGCTGTTCAAGCATGACACCAGCACCATGTTCCATCATGAAGGGCCAATCCATCCCCACATTCACCCCACCACAGCCATTTCAGCAAGAGGCATTTATTTACAGGGATGTCCCTTGCTCCAGCCACTGCAGAGCCATGGTCCTGTCCCACACCTCCCTCTGCCCCGTGGATCCTGCTGGAAGCACAGAGGGGCAGCCAGCCCTCCAACAGAGCATGCTGGTGTCTCACCTGAGCATGCAGCATGCACACAGCACACACAGAGCAGTGGTGGGTGAGCAGCGGGCTGGGGCCAGGGAGGGGGATGGACACTGCACAGGGACCAAACTAGACCCAAACTGGGTCCCACCAGCTGGTAGGAGAGCAGCAGGACGGGCACCCTGGGCTCACATGTGCCCTGGACTGCCAGGGCCTGCTCCAAGGGAAGGTGGGAGAAAGAAGGGATGGAGGGCACACAGCATCTGTCCCAATTCCCACAGGCACCAGCAGACTGCTCTACGGTGTTCCCAAAAGCAAAAGCATTGCATTTCAGTGTAAACAAAGTAGGTATCCAGCTCTGCTGATGGTGGAAGCAGGGAAGCACTGACCTATGTGGGTACTGGCAGGGACAGAGCCACCTGAGACCACATCAGGCAGCCTTGGAGAGGCAGAGATGGGCAGTGCACTCCAGCGTCCTCAGTGACACTGGGACGGCTGCACCAAGGCCACCGTCCCAAAAGATCCAGTTGCAGGAAGTCAGGAGAGTGCCTGCCTTCCCTGGGCAAGAAGGGGACTGTTCCCATCCACGGGGAAGGTCCCATGTGAGCCTTTCCTGTTGTCTAATGGCAGTTCAAGCCCGTCCTTGTGGGTGCATATTTGTCCTTAACATCAAAGGAAGCAGCCAAGGTGGGCACAGCCTGGCTGGGGACCCAGGATGGCCTGTGATGGGGTTAGTGCCAGTGGGATGGATGGGATGGGGAGTGTATGAGCACTGTCCCATGAAATGGAGCAAGGGCCCTGGCTGGGCATAGTGGATTGGACAGCGTGGGACTTACCTCGTACACCTGGAAAAAAAGGGTTGAGGTCAGCATAGGGGAAGAGAAACAAAACAAAGCAAGACTTAATTGCACATCCAGCTCAGAGCTGCCTGGTGCAGGGAAGGGACTGCCCGGCTTAGGTGTCGGCCCTCCACACTGTCAGAGCCTGCGTGCGCAGGAGGGAGACATGGGGGAATACACAAGGAAGCATGCATGCAGGGCTAGGGCTGGGAAACTCCTGAAGGGGTTGGAGAAGTCCCAGCCAACAATTCAAGACACAAATCCATGGCAGTTACACTGTCCTCAGCACTGCTGTCCCCAGGGGACAGGGGGCACCAACACTCCAAAGCCAAGGCAGACTGAGAGCAGTTGGTTTGTGGGGCTGACCTTGAGCAGACCCTGCCAGTGGCTCCCCAAGCCCCAGTTCTCCTACCAGTGCCCCATCCAACCCACCCAGCTCTTCTTCTTCTTCTTCTTGGCGTCAGCAGCCTTGCTGCTGCCGATGCTGGAGTGGCTGGTGATGCTGTTGAGGCTGGAGATGCTGTCAGAGGAGTTCTGCCGCTTGATGCGCAGCTCTGGGGTCCACCAGAGAAGCAGGAGAGATTGGGAAAGGAAGAATCAGCTACCTGTAACTGTCTCAAAGCCAGAGCACCCTATGGTCCCCCCTCCCTACACCCAATCCCTCCTCCCACCCAACACCTTCTGAGCTCTTGGAGCCACCTTGTAACAATGACATGGGACTCAGACACCACAGGGGTGCTGCCAGAGAGATGTCCAGGGCACATATTATTACCCTGCTGCTGTCCCAGGCCATCTCCCTGACAGCCCCTTGCACTCACACTGGGGTTTTGGGGCTACAAACAGCACTTATGGGAACAAAGTCAGTATCAGCAGGCAAAAACTGGCTGTTGGCAAAGGGCCTGGCAAGGAGGTCTCCCAAGACTGACAACCAACCATTCCCCTCCGTGCCAGCACTGTGACCTCCCATGGTGACAGCTCTGGCTGTCCATTCCTGGTTTCAGATGCTTAAGGATCCCAGGTGGGGAAAAACTGCTGCCCAGGGCACCCTGCCTCCAGATGAACTTCCCCTATGAGAGGGTGTGCCCTGGGGCCCTGTGCCAGTCCTAGTAGGTGCATCCCAGCTCAGGAAGGACCACAGCATCATGCCTTACCTTTGGGGGTGACATCAGTGCCATTTAGAGCACCCTGGATCACAGCCTGGGCCTCTGAGTTCTTCTTCTTCAGGAAGTCAATGGTCTCTCGCAGGTCCAGCAGCTCCGTGTCCTGGGGCAGCAGAGTTGGGAGCCATGGAGTGCATCCCGATGGTGGAGAGCCCACCCAAGAGCACCCCTGGGGCAATCTCCCAAGTCCAGGACCCACCAGCCCCACTGAGCACTGCGATACACTCACCTTCTCCTCGGCGGTCTCAGCCAGGTGCCGCAGGCGGGATGTCATGCTCACCAGGCTCTGCTCAAAGGCCGCCACCAGGTTGGCCTGGGAGAAGTGGAGAAACAGGTGAGCCCCCACATCTGGGCAAAAACCCATGGACAGGTGAGCACCCACTGCCAGGTGTGGGATGCAAAAGGCTGAACGGGAAATCAGGGCTTCCATGGGCACATCCAGCACCAGCCCTATGCCCTGCAGGGATGGAGTGGAGTGCCCCACAGGGGCTCCCGTGGGGACTCACATTAGCAGACAGCTGGGATGTCAGCGTGGCCACCTTCTCCTGCGAGGACTCCAGCTCGCGGCGCAGCTTGCGGATTTGCTATAGGGAGAGAGCAGAGAGATGAGAGGGGCCAAGCACTTGCCCTCACTGGGGGCAAGGGCAGGCATGAGCAAAGGGTGTGGGCTCACCTCAGACTGCATCTTCTCCTCAGCCTGGCAGCAGGAGAGCAGAGAGGGACAGACAGACAGAGGCAGGCAGTCAGGAGGACAGCGAGGCACAGACAGGCTCAGCACCAGGCAGAGGCATGCACAGAGCCCCCCCCAGTCCCACCCGGTACCCCAGCCATGCACAAAGCAGCGCAGCACGGAGGCGGCTCTTACGGAGGAGTAGGTGGAGGACGCGCTGGAGGCCAGGGACAGCACCGATCCGTGAACTGCAACGGGAAAACCCGAGGTGTCAGGGTGCCCTGGAGAGCAGCACCCAGGGGCTACAGGTCAGGGCACAGCTGGTGACTGGGCTCTCAGGGGTGGAGGGCTCTGAGGTGGCCTGGGGGAGGTACAGGGTGGGATGGCAGCTGCCCAGCACTGCCCGTTTCTCAGTGCGTGCCCTCCACCTGCACCCTCCTCTCTGGGGAATCTGGGGGCTGTGCTGCCCTCCCTGTCTGCTTGGATCCCCTTGTCCCCAGTGTCACAGCACCCTGGGGCAACCCAAGGACACTGAGTACCCATGGGGATCAGGGCAGACCCAGGGCTGATGCCAGCAGAGTCCAAGAGAGCCCTCAGCGTTGCTGTCCCTGCTGGGATGCCAAGAACGGGACACATCCCATTGCCAAGAACAGCAACCCATCCAACAATGCCATGGCAGCACCAGTAGGAAGGGACAAGGGTGCAGGGAGCCCCACCAACCCTCTGCAGCCTCCTCCGCCTGGGCAGGAGCACAGCACACTCTCACCATCGTCCACAGGGTCCCGGAAAGAGCCCGAGCGGATCATGCCCTTGGGCTTGTCGGCCAGGGAGAGGGTGCTGCCCATCTGGGAGGTGCTGTACAGCTCGAAGGTGGAGTCGTGGGTAGGGATGCTGTTGGAGCGAGTGATCCGCGGGGTTGTGGTGGCAGTAGGGCTCACTGCAAGGAGAAAGTGGGAAGGAGGCAGGGTCAGAGTCACGCTGGGGACCTGCCATCAGGATGGGGAAGCAGGACTGGGAGCGATCCATGAGAGCTGTGATGCAGTGAGGAAGCAGGGATTGTGGTCCCAAAGCAGGGAGGGGCTGGGGAAAGCTAAAAGGCAGGTTGATGCTGGGAACACCTGGACACCAGCACCAAGGTAATTACAGGGCTGAAAAACAAATCCATTGCCCCAGGGATAAGTGGGTACCACCACGGCCCAACACCTGCAGGTGCAGGAGTGGAGCCTGCTGCCCCAACTTGTCTGCCTGGATGCCCCAAATCCTCCAGGAACATGCAGGTCCTGGTCAGATCAGGGCAAGGCTTACCCCTTGCCCTGCCAGGCACCCCCAGAGGAGCAGTTATGGCCTGAGGCCCAAAGGTGGATGAGATGCCCCGAAGCAGAGGTGATGGACATCCCTGGTCCCAGTCCAGCACCCAAAGCACCAGGTGCTGGTGTTGGTGGTGTCAAGGAGACAAGCAGCGCCCAGGGGAGCACGAGCACATCCCTCAGGGAGCACGGGGAGCAGGAGGGAGGGGGCCGGCAGCGGAGGGCACTGACCAATGCTGGTGAGCGGACCCTTCCCGACCAGCGCCATGGGGAGGGCGGGGGGTGAGGGCAGCTCCTGCTGCTCGTCCGACTCGGGGAGTCCACTGACTGCGTGGGAGTGGCGCCGCTCCTTGGCCTCCTCCTGGGAGTGGAGCTGGTACCTGGGGAGTCGCAGACAGGCATGGTAAGATCGACCAGCACCATCCAGCTCCCGCCCACTGCGCTGCAGCCCAGCTTCCCTGGCTCAGGGGCACTGCCCTGGAAAGCCTTCCCTTCCCACCCCAGCACCATCCAAAAGTCACTTGAGCTCTTTTACCTCAAGCCCTTCTTGGGCAGTGTGTTCCTGTCGCGGCTGGCACTGGAAGGGAAGGAAAGATCAGTGACATCCCTGCACAGACTAGTGAAGGAACCATGGGGATTGAGTTGTAGGAACAGGGAGCTTTTCCCTAGAAATGTAGCAGGAAGAGACTCTGAAGCAGGCAAAGGATATGGCAGAACAGCAGGGAGCAATGTGTGCCCATGAAGGTGCCGCAGCAGCCCACCAACCTCCTTCCAGCCATACCTGTCCAGATGTGTGAGCCGGGGGCTCCCACTCCAGCCCAGCTCTCCTGCCTCTTCTTCCTCTTCCTCCTCTGCGCTGGCAGGGGGTGCAGCAGCAGGGGTGGGGGTGGTGGTGCTGCCCCCTGAAAAGGCACTGGGCAGGCTCATGGGCATCTGCAGGGATTCCATACTGCGGTGAAGGCCGGAGAGCTTAGGGTACATCCTGCCCTCCTTGGGGACACTGTAGCCACCCATGAGCTCCAGGCCCTGGGAGAAGCTCGCTGAGTTGATGTTGAGGATGGGGGCAGGGCTGGGGCTGAAGCAGGGCGCAAGGTGCCCACCAGCCGGATGCAGGTCCTGGAGCTTGGCAGTGTGTGGGGTGTGCAGCTCACTGGAGGAAGGCAAGTCCAAGCTGTTGGAGTTGACCTTGTCCAAGTTGGCCAGCGAGGGAGGTTTCACGTAGGTCTTGGCAGCTGCTCTGGAGTGGGGAAATGGGTAAGGAAACAGGTGAGACTCAGGTACTGGTGCTGGGCACAGCTGTGCCAGGCACCTGCTGCCCTCGGAGGTGGAAGGACCATACCTGAGAGGTGTAGGGGGCAGCTCAGCCACCTTGGCTGCTGGCGGGAGGCTGGCCTGGGCTTTTGGGGTGCTCTCAGGTGAGCTGGCACTCTTCAGGGTGTTGCACTCAGAGTCAAGTGCCACTGCCTTAGCCTTGGCCTTCTCCTTCTCACGATCTGTCTGGTTCACAGGGGCTGGTGTGCCACGGCCAGTGCCAACCTTGGATGGCTCCTTGAGCCGTGACACCGAGATGCCGCCCTGCTTGGTGCTCAGCAGGCTGGGGTCAATGCTGCTGCTGACCGGCCGGGCTGCGCTGCGGCCCCCGGTCACACTCATGGAGCTGGACTTGGCCGGCCGGGGCAGGCTGCGGTACTGGATGTTGGAGCGAGCCCCTGGTGCCAGGAACCCAGGCTCAGGTGCGTTGGAGACATCGAGGCTTGTTTTCCTCCCACTGACTGGCTTAACAGGGATGCCAGAGCTCTTCTGGATCTTGCCGAGAGTGGCCGAGCCCCCAGCCTGCATGACAGTGGCCGTGCCAGTGGCAGGAGCTGGTTTCTTGTAGCCAAAGGAGCTGGAGGATGAGGGGCGGGCAAGCCCTGACGGCGGCTTCTTGGCGTCAGCGGTGCGGTCACGGCCGGCATCAGAGGAGGAGCGCTGCAGGCCCGTGTTCTTCACTGACAGCTTGCTCTTGTCGGTGACTTTGGTCTCTGGCTTGCCTGGTGGCAAGAACGGCCAGTTACGGTGGTTAGTGTCCCTGGAGGCTTTGGGGACATTTGCAAGTGAACAAGCCCAGACAGGATATGGGCACCAGAGATGCAGGGATGTGACAGAGAAGGGACATGCCAGACCCTTGGTGCACTCAACAGTTCCCCAGCCTGGTGTGTGGACATGGGACCATGGGGCAGGCACAGACCCCCAGCCTGCTTGCAGCCCACAACGCAGCCCTGCCTCCCTTTCCAGCTCACACCCAGCTCCCGGGTCTGAGCACAGCTATAGGCCATCCCATGGCCTACATGCTTGGGGAAGGCACACAAAGAGAGCACCCAACCTTCTCTCCATCAAAGGAGCTGGACCCTGCCCAAACCGGATTTTACCTGCCACTTTGAGGGTGCTCTGGGCCATGTGGGTGATGGGAGAGGTCACAGCCACTGGAGGAGTCTTGCCCTTCTTGAGGGAGCCCGGGGTGCCCAGGCTGACAGGCTTCTTCAGTTCACCACCCTTGGGCCCCTCCTCTCCACCCTCCGAGGGCTCCCGCCGCCACTTGGAGGAGCCATGCTCCATCTTGAGGCTGCTGCTGTCGTAGTCCAGCTTCTTGGGTGCCTTCTCGTCACCCTCACCGTACCAGCTCAGTCCGCTCTCTGCCAGTGAGCGCTTCTCCGAGTCCGTGCGCAGCTGGGGGCAGAGCAGAGTCAGGGGCGCTCCTGGCACCCACCCCAAACCCATCCCCAGAGAACATCAGCCAGCTGGGAGAAGGACGCAGCAGACACCCTGTGCCATCCTTGTTTCCTCACACTGGCACCCTCCTTGCCCTCTTTCCCACTGAGCAGGAAAGCTGGGATAGGTGCTGGAAAGGGTCCGGGTGCCACTGGCACCTACCGCTATGGCCGAGTTCCTGCGCGAGGCGGTGGGGGTGGAGGGCAGGGAGTTGAGCGAGGAGCTGGCATTGAACTCCTCTGAGCTGAGGTTGTCGGAGGCATCGCTGAGGCCACTGCTGATGGAGCTGCTCTCATCCCAGCTGTGAGGGAGAGACAGCATCAGACCCCTGCTCAGCCCAATGGGACCCACCACCTGCAGGATCTCCCTGTTCCAGGGGCTGCCAGGGCAAAAAACAGCTCCTGGTAGTGCCCATGGCAGGGACATGGCATGCAGGGCCCATGGCAGGGACATGGCATGCAGGGCCCATGGCTGGCTCCAGCCCAGCCTGGCATTGGCTTGTGTTCCTGTGGCGTACAAGCCTCAGTGACCCTGCTTCTCCCCATTAAAGCTCTGTTGAGCTTTGGTGGGGATGGAGGGACATCTGCAGCTCAGGGAAGCCAGCACCCATGCCACAGCATCACAGCTGGCAACAAGCCCCCAGCAACCTGCTCTGACCCTGGAGGCAGGTTAGGATTGTCAGAAAGGGAAGGACTGCTGGAATAAACAAATCAACCACCCTGTAGCATCCCTCCTTCCTGGGGTGGTCCCCACCCACTGCACCCTACTGCCCCTCTCCAGCCCCCAGCAGCCAGAGGCAGCAAGTCTGGGATCTGCTGCTGTGCCAAGGTGGCTGCTCCATGCCAGGGCTCAGCCAAGTGTGCAGAAGCCCATCTGCAGGGCCATCAGTCAGCACCACACTGGGGCTGCCTGGGTGCCCCAAGGGCACAGCTGGTTCCACAGCACTGGGCTGTGCCCATGACGATCTAGCACAGGCAGGCACGGAGCACCTTCCAGCAGGATGAGCACAGCACCTTTCAGGTCAGCAGCTGAGTAGGTCAGTGAAGCCTCGCAGCCTCCCAGGGGGAGACAACACTGGCACAGGCTGCCCAGAGAAGCTGCGGCTGCCCCGTCACTGAAATGTTCAAGGTCAGGTTGGATGGGGCTTGGAGCAACCTGACCTAGTGAAAGGTGCCACTGGCCATGGCAGGGAGTGGCTCAAGACGAATTTTAAGGTCCCTTTCAACCCATACCATGCCATGATTCTGTGACAAGCTGTGGTGTAGGAGGGCAGAGTAGAGCTGGGACCTGCAGCCAGCCCCAGGCCCTGCAAGAGATGCCTGTTTATCTGCATCAGGACCACAGAGGTGCAAGTGATGCCCAGCAAACAGCAGAGCCCCAACAGCAGTGGCAGAGCAAAAGCAACAGCCACCACCATCCCCGTCAGATGCCCAAAGCTCAAGAAGGAGCAACAAAGGCAGCTCCAGCACCATAAGACCTGCACTGCATGTCTTGCTCTTTCCATAGGGGAGGAGTTCATCAGAGACTGGCCAAAGCCAGGATGGACACAGTCCCCTGTGACCCCACAGCAGCTTCTGGGACAGAGCCAGCAGGTGCTGCTGCCCAGGAAGGGATTTCAACAGGATCAAGCACTCAGGATGTGCTGCTGAGCTCCTCAGCTAAAAGCCACGTCTGACCACCAGCTCTATGCCTAGGGTGAGTTCCCACTGGGATGGAAATCCTCACCCCAGCAAAGCCTGCAGCAAAGCCCCTCTCCCAGCCTGGCATCACCTGGCAGCAAGCAGTGCCAGGAGTGAGGCCAGGCTTTGTAGGACTGTGTCCTGTGGCAACACAGCGGGGGCCACATGTGGTGCTGGGTCTCAGTCTGGCTTTTGGGGCCAGGAAGGGAAACCCCAAACACTCTCCCAGCCATGCATGTGACACCCCCAGTGCCCTGGGCATCCAGGGAACCACTGAGAAAGAGGCAGAGGGTCAGAAGTTAAGCCAAGGCAGGAGGTGACTTCAAATCCTCCTCGACAACCCTGTGCCAAGAAAAGACAACATGGAAGGTCACATCCCAAAATCACTAAAACCATGGCAAGAGGCTGGAGAGCCAGCTGCACACTATGAGGGTGTCTCTAACTCTCTTATGGGGCACACAGCTAGTGCACTGACGGATCCCCCAAACTGGTACATGTATGCAGCACAGCAAGGAAAGTCGCAAGCCCAGCACCACTGGCCCCTCAGCATGTACAAACTCCCGGAGCACGGCTGAGCCCCGGCACCTCGACTGCCCCCGAGAACCCTCAAACAGGGGGCAGCCATGTCAGACTGTCACTCCGGGGCAAAACTGACCCTCTGCTTTGCGCTCCATCCCCTCCATCTTATCCAGAGCGATTCCCAGCTCCTGCAGACGGTCCCGCACCGAACCTACCCGCCAGCAGCCCCGCGGCAGCTCCCAGGAACGAGGATGCTCAAGGGCAGCGCGTCCGTCCTGCCGCGCTCCGCGGCGCCGGCGGGCGGACAGCCCCGCGGAGGGCGGGATGGTCCGGCACGTTTTCGGGGATGAGCCGAGCCCCAGCCCCGGCGCGGGGAGGCGGCTGCACCGGCAGGGAGCGGAGGATGGACTGGGACCGCGGCGCGGTGCGCGGGGATGCTCCGCCCCGCCCCGGCCGCACCCCGACTCGGAGCCCCGCGCTCGGCAGTCCCGGGGTCAGACCCGACGTCCGGAAGCACCAGAGCCTCGGGAGCCCCGCGGAGGACAGGCCCGGCCGTACTGCAGGTGCGGGGCGCGGGCCGGGGCGGAGGATGGGGGTGCCGGGGCGGAGGATGGGAAGGCCCGCGGGAGCCGCCCCGATGCCCCGATGCCGCGGTGCCGGGCGCGGCCGCGCTGCCCCGACCCCCCTTTGCCACCCCCCCGCAGCGCGGCCGAGACAAAGCACCGCCCGCGGAGCGGCCCCGGGGCGCGGGGCTTTGTCTGCCGGGGCCGAGCTCCGGCCGCGCCCCCGCCCGGTGCGGTGCCCGTTCCCTGCCCGTGCCGTACCTGCTGGCGAGGCGCGGGGCGCGGCGCGGCCTCCCCGCCCGCAGCATCGTGCTGCCCGCGGCGCGGCGGGCGGGGGGCGGCGGGACCCCCCCGCTGCCCCCGCCTTAAAGCGACAGCGGCACAGGACCCCCTCTGCCGTCCATCGGCCCCTCCCCGCCGGAACGGGACCGGGGTCCCGGCTCCAAGCCTCGCCCGTCTCAGCTTCGCGACCATGTCTCCAAGTTCTGCCCCGCAGCCCACGGCCCCACCCCTGTCCCTGGTGTCCCCCAGTGTCCCCCAAAATGCCCGCAGAGCCCCCAACCACGATTCACATCCCCAAACACAGCACCAGTGACCCCCCAAGTCCAGCCCACAATACCAGAGGCCATTCCTCAGCACTAGGCCTGGACCCAGTGCCCCCCAAATCGCGCTGTTCTCTGTCCCCAAAGAAAACACCTCCTCGATATGGGTCCCACTGTGGGGTGCTGGGACAGCTGCTCCCAGCAACCTCGGCACTCATCCCCAGAAAGGACGTCAATGCCTGCCCCGCTCTGCCTTTCATTGACCAAAACCCCAACTTTTGTCCCTTTTTTCTCTCTCTCTTGCATCACATAAAGAGCCATGCTACAGGGTAGGGTCCTCACTGGGATGGTAACACCAGGGACAATTTCGCCAGCCCGGCCACATAGGGCAGAGAGAGTTAACTGCAGCATTGGCAAGACAGACCAGACCCTGCAGGCTGGGAAATAAGTAATTCCTTCCTTGAAGCAACTGGCAACGCCTCTTGGCTCCTTCCCCACTGTCCCATCACTCACCACACAGGGCTTGTCCCAGCATGGCATGGCAGGACAGGGGTACCTGACCATCCCTGTCCCCACTGATCAGCTCATGCCCACACCCACCAAGCCCTGGCAGGGGCTCATGGCCAGGGGCTGCTGGTGCAGCCAGCCCTGCGGTGCGGTTACGGTCCCACGGCCACGTGCGCCAATGGGTGCGGCGGCACAGCCCGTCCAGCACTGCATCCCTCCGGTCCCTCCGGCCTGGCACGGCGCCCGATGCTGTCCCTTCCCTCTTCTCCTGGCTGCCTGCCTCAGCCCCGCCACGGCCGGCTCACGCAATGCTCAGAGCAGCTTCTGCTGGGCACAAATCTGGGCATCCCGGGTGGCAGGGGAGCCAGCCCGGCACAGCCCAGCACTGCAGCCCCTCAGAAAGGCAGTTTTGACCCTGCCAGAGCCACGGGCCTGGTGTGAGATGACAGCAGAGAATCACTGCTGACCAGTCACAGCGCACCCTTGGGCACCAGCACAGGCACTGAGCCCCATACAGAGGAGTACCCCCAGCACATTTCTCAGCAGAGGTTGCTGTTGGAGCTGGACGGTTTTGAACTCTCCTTGCTTCACCTGTCTCACACCAGCACAGACGCCTACCCATGTAACACCCAGACCCACTGGCGCCAGCCAGGGTTCCGGACACTCATGTCCCTGCCAAGCTGGTCCAGCTAGATCCCCACTGCCATCCTGAAGCCCACCCTGGATGGAAGCAAGTCCTGGTCTGCCCTGGCCCCTTCCTCCTGTGGCAGGGGAGGAAATGCAGAGTGCACTAAGGGGGTCCCACACCCCACATCAGCAGATCACTGGCATTGAGGGAGCTGTGTGGCACTGGTGCTCCCAACCCCAGCCTCATGCTGTGATTTGAGATAGGAGCAGTGAGGAAAGCACAGGCACAGCCGGGGCTCTTCACACCCTCCCCCTCTCCTCCATTTAATGGGGCAGAAAAAACAATTAGCTTCATAAATCCCGTTGAGGGGGTTGGGAGCTCCCCATGGATGTGGGCAGGGCAGGGCTCTGCATCTCTCTCACATCCACATCAGGAACCAGAGTGTAACAACACTCCCTGACTTCCCTGATCCCCACAGCCCTGTAAACCCCTCTGTACCCTCCAGGATGCCCCCAAGACCTGCAGGTACCCCCTAAGAGAACTCCAGCCCCTACAGAGGGTCAGGCTACCTTGACCCTAGGTGTCTCCTGCTTGGATTTTGGGTACTGTGATCTGGCACCTTTCTCCAAAGCAGCATTCAGAAGAACAGGGGTCTGCAGAGATCTGGCAGATGGGGAAACTGAGGTAGGGAAGGGGGATCTGACTTGCCTGAGCTCCCCCAGCAGAAGAGGATCAACATCACATCCCGCAATTGATTCAGGATCCCATTCTCCAGGCAGTAACAGTGGGGTTGATTTCCCTGCAGCAGCGAGGCCGAGGCCATGGGGGGGTCAGCCAGCACTCACTGCCTGCTGCAGTGACAT